TGACAGGAGCAGGGAGGTCATCTAATCCAGCCCGAGAGGGTGCCCTGCTGCCCAGCACACTCCACTTGGCACAAGCTGGGGCGCTGCGTGGCACCCCTTCTTCATTAGGCTCAGCTTTGCCAGGCTGCCTTTCTCCTCCTCCGTACCTTAAGCAAGTCTTTTTCCTTCTCTGCTCTCCTCTGGGTCACAGCACCACAGAGCCACTCTGTGCTGTCCTGGTGACCAAAGCCCTCTCCTGTGTACTTTGTCTCATTTCAGCTTTTATACAAAAGAAAACAAACCTATCAGGAGCTGCTCTTCTGTACCAGAAACGTGTGGTGGGTTTCTTGACCTGTGGAGGTTTCAGCCCTTCAGGAGCAGTCGGGCCACACGGACGCAGTGCGGTCTAGGACTCAGAACTGCTGGAACCTTGTTGACAGCTTACAGTTCTCTTTACCTTAGGGTTTTGATGAGCTCTGAACTGCAAGGGAGTGTGTGAATATGCACTGCCTTGCCACACGGTTCCAAAGGTGCCGGGCCCGGGGCATGACTGACGTGAGACTGTGCAAGTAGGGAGCTGATCTTGGCAGCCAGCTGCCTGGACGCGCTCTGCCCACTTCTCATCCCCACCTCCTGCTAACACACACTCTGAGTCCTGAAATTGAAACTTTTCATTTGATTAAATTCAAGGCATCTTTATAGAGTTTAATTGCAATAATTGACTTTGCTTCTTTCTCAACAAACAGTAGATATCTCCCTCGACGCTGCTGAGCACCCGTTTGCAGTCTGGGGGTTTATTGAGCATATGGGAGCTATTTATTGCCCATCCTTGGAGCCACTTTTGATTATCTCCTGATTGCCTCTTAATTCTGTTAGCAGGGAGGGGCCTGCTATGTAGGGGACCAGTGGGGAGGTGAGATGCATTTCAGACAGAAAATGAAAAGCTGTTCTTTAGGGCATTTGTCCACCTTAAAATTTAACTTTTCTTCTGCATTTAGAATTACATTTTGTTCTTGTTTTGGCTCTTATTAAGACATAGAATGTGCCCTTTTACCTGCCAACACACAGTCTCATTAGTCTAAGAAAAAATAACGTGGAATCTATGAGTCTCTTAGGAAATTATCTGGGAGAAGAGATTGCTATTCCAGAAACGGAATCCGTTGTACTGATCATCATTTGTTTCCTCAGGAACGTATTTCTCAAGGAAGGGAGGGTGAGGCTGAGAGAATTGTTGTACTCGTGGGCATCTGTGCTTCTTGGTCTGTGGCCGTACAGAAAGTGAGGAGAATGTTTCTTGCAGTTTGGAACAAATGTTGAACACCATGTTGTCTCTGACTGGCCCTCGCTCTGTGTCCACAGCTCAACCATGGCCTTTGCCCCCTCTCAGGGTCTAAAAAGGACCTTGTGACGGAGTTGCCAGCATTACCCACTTTCACAGATGGTGAAGCTGGTCCCGGAGAGACGGAGACACAAGCCAGCCTTCAAGCCGGGCTGCAGCCCCATTCCTGCTGAGTGGTTACTGTGGACCTCCAGTAAACAGCCACCATGAGGGCCTCATCCTGCAGTTGACAGCAGAGGGAGTAGGGCAGCTGCTCCCATGCCAGCCAGAGCTGCTGGGGGCAGAGCAGCCTCAGGGCCACGTGCTCAGTGTGCAGTCACTTTGTTTTTCGGCTCTTAGACTGCTTCAGGTAGAGAGGTCACTTTGACTTTGCTTCATCCTCAGTTAACAAGTATTTCCAGAGGACCTACTGTGTACCAGGTGCCCATAGCTAGCTGGGGAACCACAAGACTGGAGAAGTCAGAAGGCACTGGGCTACAAAGAAGCTGTCCTCGTGAAGGCAGAGCACAAAAGTAGCAGCTTTGGGTATTTTCAGGGCTCCAGAAAAGGCAAGTGAAAGTAGGCAGTCCATGAGAGGAAGCTACCTGATAGCCCCCAACCCCTGCAGCAACAGGCCAGAGAATGGACAGACAGGCTGGGGAGTGCGATAGGGTGCCTGGTAAGGGTGTGGTGGAGCCCAGGGACTATAGGAGCCGTCCCAGAGCCCTTAGTACAGACGTGCTGCTGGGCCTGCAGTAGAATCGGGATCTGGACACACCAAGAGGGGTAAACTCTGTTTTAAAGGGCATTTGGGGGCTTTTCCGTGAGCAGCTATTGCTGGGCACCCCACACAGGGAGGACACAGAACAGGAAGAATAGCACATTGATATTGGCAGCACCCACATTTAAGCAGCAAGTTAGCCAAGCCTAGAGAAGAAGCCACTTGACATGCTTGCTGTGATGGGAGAGGACTCTTGTGAAGCCCAAGAGGACTGTCAAGAGGGACAGAGTATGTGCCATGTCACAGTTGACGAGAGGTCAATAGCAGGAAGCTATGTCACCCAAATGGCTTGTGGAGACATTGTGGGTGGTGGGGGCAGCTCTTCCCATGGCTGAGATCCATGGCCAACTATGCCAGGGAACAGGGCAGGAGAGACAAAGGAAGCAGGGTAGAAATCTAGGCATCCTAGAGGCATAGGGAATGCCAGAACTGGACTTTTGTGCAATTGAAGAACCAGTTGACCCTGCTGGGGCTGCCCTGCTGTCCTTCCCTAGCGCCAAGCCATCCTGAGATGCTCGTCTACCTCAGGCGGATCAGTGAACACTCTGGACATCACCTCTGGTCATTGTATGCTCAGCCTCTTCATCCCCCCACTGGGGCTTCCTGGGGCCGCCTTGCTCCGCCCTCTCCCCACAGTTTCCACACAGCAGCATCATCCTTATAAACTTAGATGGAATCTCCCTCTCTGATCTTGTACACATGGGTTGGACCACAGGCAAGGAATAGAGTAGTCCAATAGGATAGTCCAATAGATGAGCAAGAAGTAACCCAGAGTGCCACAGGGCAATGCTGAGGCAGGAGGGCTTGTGGGGCATGGCAGGCAACAGAGGAAGACACTGCCCTCCTGCATCCTCCAGTAGCTTCATTATGAGTCAGAGCAAGTACCTTCTTAGCCTGGACCACTATTCCTATTCCTGCCATTTCACTGCTACAGCTGCAGAGGATTGGCAGTGGGGAAGAAAGGGGGCCGTGGCAGGAGGTGAGCTGGACAGGCCTGCAACAGGCTTGTGCCTCTACAGCCAGCAGTAGGCCCATGTTTGGCAGGGAACACTGGGTGCCCATCCGTGTGCCAGGACAAATAGTGAATTCCCAACAAGTGTGTATGGGGGGTGGGGGGGTGAAGGTGACAGAAGCAGCAAGGTCACTGAGGGCCACCATAGCACGGCTTTTATACAGAGGCTACAAGCCATGTCAGGATGTGAGCTCACCTTTTAAGGAGGCAGTGATGGGGCTGCCCTCTGTGTCACAGATGCCACCCAGTGGCCACCTGTGCAACCCCTGGTCTGGTCATTTCTGCAAAGAAAGCAGCACAGAAGGCAAGCTAGGGCCCATATCAGAGGATCCCAAGCCCTCACTGGCACCCTTCCACTGATGTGTCCTCAACCCAAACTTGCCTGGTCTGCCTCAATTTGTTTTCTAGGAAAAGAAACCCACAACTGGTTTTGACAGCTAAGGAAAGTAGGAAAGGAAAGGGAGGGTCCAGTTTTGCAGGGCCCTTGCAGGTTCCTTAGCTAGGTGCAGTTGGGTAAAGATTGGAGAGATGCCCACCCCCTCACAGAGAGAAAGGCATCCCACGGACCCCCAGGGTAAACCAACTCCAGCTAAAAAGTGAGTTTTCAGCCAGAAGGGGAACTGGGATGAGGACCCAGGCCCATGGACCATGCTGGGATGAGGACCGGGTGCCCACGCCCAGAGCCCGGTGGTGACATGGTATAGCACTCAGTGGTGGGTATGGTAAAGTGGTGTAAGTCTGAGCTAGTGTGGATTCCCTGTAAGTCTGAAAGGAGTTCAGAGTGGAAAATTTATAAGAAATCAATAAGATTTCAGCTAGGTTCCATACCCACCTTTCTGAACCCTAGCCTGTGGCTGCAGCTCTGAGGTCCGCTGTCCCTCCTGCTCCTGGGTCCTTCAGAAGCTGTGCCTGGCAGACAGCCTTATGTAAGAGCAGCCAGTCTGCTCCCAGACACTGAGTCCCTGTCCCCCAGTTATGTAAGAGGATGTGTTCATGAAGCCGCATACATCATCCTGTGCCGGGCTTGTGTACCAGTCACAGAACTGTTTCAGAATAGAGCCCAGAGGGCTGTTTTAAAGCTAGGATAGGGTGTAGGCGTCTGCCTGGCAGGGGGTCCTGGGCTATGTTCTCCCAGTGGGTGCTGCCAAGCATGGTGACAGGCAATACTGAGGATATGCTGCCCACTGTGAGTGGTGACCTGTGTCCCAGTGCCATGAGAACCTGGTAAGGTAGGCCGGGTCTACCAGCCAGAGTGAGGTCCTCTTCCGCTCAGGCCAGTACCTATGGTTTTGTGCTTGAGGGCCACCAGCAGTCCCCTGGGCTTGCATAACCCACGCCCAACCACTCAGCCAAGGGGATGCTGGAGCCTGACTGCCAGTGATGGACTCTCTGACATGACTGCACAGGGTGTGTGGCATTCATGTCAACAGCACCCAGCCCCTCAGGCAGGAGTCTGCAGCTGGGCCACCCGCCCCTGGCCTACAGGCCTGCTTCCAGTAAAATGCCTCATCCTGCCCATCAGCCACCACAGATCCCCTGCTGCTTGAGGAAAAACAAGCTGCTAGAGAGGGTCACGTCAGCGTCAGGAACCACCCTAGAGGGGGCGAGAGTTCTGCAGTTTTTCCTAAGCCTTTTTCTCACTTCATTTTAAAGAGAAAAAATGTGACAAACCAAATGGTTAGAGTGTGCTGCCAACACCAGTGGCCCTGGCACTGTGTCCTCTCTGAGCTCCCCTCAGGTGACGTCTGCAGCCTGGGTCGACTCGGGACAACTTCAGCACACTGACCTGAGTGCCAAGCCTCCCCCAGATCCTTGCTGCATGGCTCAGGCAGCTTCTTCTTTGCCCATGATACCCCCGACCCTAATGACCATGCACTAAATGCAGAATGCTCCCTCTCTTTTCTCCGCAGGCAGGCCTGGGACCTCGCTGTGGACATTTGTCTCTCTCAGCTACCAACGATCATCGAGGAGGGCACTGCCTTTAGGGTGAGTTCCTCCCCTACGTCCTGTGCATCTCTGAGGGTGCTGCTGCCTGCACACCTGCTCTGCAAAGCCCAGTTTGGGTATGGCACTCAGGTCTCCAGTGTGTCAGGGATTCACTGTCCCACTTGGAAAATGTGCAGCTAACCAGAATATACAAGACCAGGTCAGCCAAGGGTTCAGAGCTAGATTATAAGTGGCCAGCTTTTTTTTTTTTTTTTTTTTTTTTTTTTTTTTGGTATCAGGGATCATACTCAGGTCCCTGAGCTAAAATCACCATCCCTAAATTTGCTTTTCTTAATGCAGATTCCCTCCTTCCCTGTGCTGAGCTGTTTAAAACTCTGGCCTCAGTGAATTACGGGCACCTCTCAAGGCCCAGGGATGGTTGACCCCAAGCCCTACCATGCAGGTGACAGCAATTGAGTTACTTTGTAGGCACCTGGCCCACCCTATTCGTGACACTGGTGTAGGGAGGATCCCAGGGTCTTCACAGCAGTGAATCTGCCTATAATCTAGAGGCAGCACCCAGCGTCCCCTTGATTTTTTATTGTCATGTGATTACTATACGTCATAGAGTATGAACAAAACCCATCTCTGCCCTCAAATGTCTGTGGAAAGAGTCCCAAAGCAGAGCATGACTTCAGAGTTGGGAGTCCACGGAGGGCACCCCAGGCTCAGGAGTGGAGGGTGGGCCTGGCAGAGTCTGTGTTGTGCACAGCACCCATGCCATCCATGAGGCTGAGAGGACATAGGCATCATGTGGCTGGGCCAGCATCTCCAGGTCTTCTCCACACCTCCAGAGAGACCAGCGGGCTTCAGAGCCAGCAGCTGGCTCTGTTAGGCAGGCTCCCTGGGTCTCAATCTCTTCCCTTTAAAGAGAGTTCTGAGTGAATGTAAGGGGTATTGTGAAGCCTAGCTTAACATGCCTGAAGTGTGAAGGACAGAGCTGCCATGGGGCACAGGCTGCTGGTTTGTGCCTGCCCAGATCACCAGTCCCCAGGGTGAGTGGGTCACATCTTTGATCTAGGGTCAGGTGCACAGTGCCCATGCGTGATCCAGGCAAATTACCTTTTCAGAGCAGGGACAGGTACCCAAGTGCAAAGAGGTATGGAGTGTGGTGGGCTGTACTGATATGGCTCAGGGTCAGAATGAGTGGGCAGAGGACCTTGTCCTTTTGATCTAATACTGACTCCTTTTTGTTGTTTGATTTTCGGGTAGCATGAAAATTTCCAAGCTGAGAGTGAAATTGAAAGGATTCTACAATGAGCGCCCACACACCCACCCTTTAGTTCTGCCCTTGGCATTTACACCCGCTGTCACCTGTCCGTCTGCCCATCCATCTTTGTAATGCATTTAACAGCCATTGCAGACTGCCCTGAGTTTCTAAAGGAGAATTCATGTGGTTTCCCCTTGGCTCCTGCCAGTATTTCTGGCATCCACCCTTGGACTTCTAGACCAAAGGGATGCCCACCTCTTTCTGTAAACTCTTCGGAGCAGGGTCTCTTCCATAACCACGAACCCCTGTAGGCAACAGTGCCTGGCCCATGCGGGATGCCACCTGCATCCACCTGTGTCTGTGGCCTCTACCTCAACCAGAGCAGCCCCCAAGGGCCTGAGCTCTCCCAGGAAGGACAGGGCTTGTTGCTGCAAACAGATGTCTGGAAAACCCTGTAACTCTGAGCATGATTTCAGTCTGTGCTTTTAGGAGATCAGAACCCTGCTCTTCTTTATATAAGAGAGTTTCTCTTTGTATGTGTGCTTCCTCTAGATGGAACACTTCCATTTCATTGCCAGGTATCTTTGCCAAGGATCTTTTCAAGGATCTTACTCCATCATTTCTAACCTGCGAGAATCAGAATTCTGCATTTGGGTATGATTATGCCAAATTGGGATGTCAGGGAAGGGGCAGCTGATATAGATTGTGGGATAGCCTTTTCATTTTATTTTCACTTTTTTGGAGGTATACATCCAAATTATATGTACTTTAAACATACAGCGTGGTGAGTTGGACACACCTGTGTAACCACACCCAAATTCAGCAGCAGTGCACAAGGAGTGTGGTGGTCATAAGACCCACTGCGGCCTCTCCAGCGGTGCCTCCAGCACTGACTCCATGCCCATCACACTCCCCAGCCCATCCCTGAGCCCTCCCACAGCCAAGCGCTCATCATCCCTCACTCCCTTTGCCTCCCACCTGCTCTGAGTCTGCTCACTCAGCTCAGCTCACTGGAGAGCTCAGATCCAGGCAGCATGGCTGACTGATCTTCTTCGTGATCACCCTATCAAGCAGGACGTAGAGGCTGCCAGACAGTCTAACCAGAGACACTTTGCCAGCCCCGCCTCCCTCCCTCTTCTGTCTGTTCTGCTCCTACCCTCCTTCCCAAGGGCTTCGCATTCCTGCTTTTCCTGAGGAACAGAAGTATAGAAAGAGAAGCCCTGAGATGCCTACCATCAGCCACCCACTGCCTACCCGAAGCCTGCGTGCTCCTCTTCCCTCCTGCCCTGGCTGCCCTTCCCTCCACCCTCCAGCTGTGCCTGCCAGGCACCAGCCTGCCTCCTCTGTTCTCCTCTGGATCTTTCTCATCAGCTCACGTGCATGCCCTTACACTCCCATCTGTAAACCACATTCATGTTCCACTTTTCCCTGTGGCCACCACCGTGCTCTTTGAGTCTGTACTTCAGAGATCTGTCTATACTTGAGTCTCCACATTCTGTTTTCCTTACTCTGGTCCACTCCAGACCCACAGATACCCAATCCCAGGCTGTTAATGGTCACAATGACCACTGTTGCCAAAACAGTCAGTGGCCAGTTCTTAATGTAGGACTTGCGTAACCAAACCCCAGTATTCAGTGTTGCTGAACATGTCACCCTTCCTGCCTTCCGGGGCTCCATGCCTTCCTGCTCTCCCTCCAGGTTGTGGCTTTCACAATCTTTTGACAAATTTCACCTCACCTCCTTGACCCCAAAGTATCATCAACCTAGGCTCAGTCCTGGGTTCCTTCTCTTTCTCAAAAAGGCTATGTGCCGATGGCTCTTGAGGTTATACCTAGCCAGACCTCTCCCAAGTGGTTGGCCACGTGGCCAGATGCCTTTGTGTCTTCATGTGAATGCCTGATGGACACCACAAGCACAAAGTCTGTGCCCTAGGCTGAGGTCCAGTGTCCCCTCCCGGCTATTCCTCTACCCTCAGTGATGTTGACCACATCTGTCAGGTGCTCAGGCCAAAGCTTCTGGATCATTCTCAACCTCCATCCTGCCCACATCCAGGCTGCTCACAGCCCTGCAGCTCTGCCTTGTCCTGGAGTCAGCGTGTGTGGGCGCTTCATAGACCTGACCGGCTCCTCTGCTTCTCCCACAGCACAGCCCATTCTTTGCAGAGCAGCTGACTGCATTCCAGGTATGGCTCACAATGGGAGTGGAGAACAGGAGCCCCCCTGAGCAGCTGCCCATCGTTCTGCAGGTGAGTTGCTTCAGAGAGGATGGAAGCCAAAACCCAAGAGTTCCCAAGTCAGCCCACATATGTGTGTGCTTGCATGTGCACGAAGATGGGGAACGCCAGCCCCTCCTCTGCCATGCTGTGCTCTGGACCAGATGGTAAATAAATCACACAAACCCAGTCAGAAGTCAAGGGAGCCGATTGCATGTTTAAACCTAATGGGCCTTCCTGGTAAAGTCATCGAATTCTCTTCCTCTGCCCCCAGTTAAATATGTTGGAGATGAAGTGCGCCCCCCCACCCCATTTACACTTTAGAAATTGATGTACTGCTACTGTCAAGAGCTCCATTTCAACACAGGCTCTCAGCATTGTTGCCTGCTTTTTGGAAGGACACAGGATGTAAATTGATCCTATGAGGAAAGGAAGAAATCTGCTGAGCAGGTTATAAATGGCCATAGTGGGCTTCCTGGCCTAGCCCTGTGCTGACTGACAAAGCAGTCATTACCCAGAAGCCATCAGCCTTCCCTTGCACCTGGGATTTGTCCACACATTGCTGTAAGAAACCGGTGTGCCATTCTGAGGCTAGTCATTTGCACAGCCTGTTTCATGTCCCCATGCAGACTGTGAGTACGTCATAGGTGGAGGTGAGGTTTGTGTGTCCCACCAGCTGATTTGTTGGTCAATGAGATGGGACAGGCATACTAAAGTACCTCCTAGGTATTAAGATGAGGAGGATTGCAATGGCTGAGTATTTGCTGGGGCAATTTGTGGGCTGGGTTGTGACGCAGGAAATGCTGTTTTACCCTGGGACAGTGTCCAGGGGAGTTTTCAAGCACTGAGCAGTGTGCATACCAGGGTCTAATAACGTACCTTAGGGGCTGGAAAACACTTGTGTAATGAGGGCAAGGCTGTTAAACTGGGGCCGGAAGCTGTGTGATCAAGCGCAGGAGGGGTGGGAAGGCCCGTCCCATATCCAAGAATAAATCTGGTTGGGGGCTATAAAGAGGACAGTGTCCCAAGGGCAGCAGGTGAGATCATTCCTTTCCCAAGTACCAGTCAGGTTATTCTGCATCCCATAAGCAGGGACATAAGTTTCATCATCCACCTGTCCAAGGACATCTGCCTCGCTTCTTTCCAAGAAGGGCTTGTACTTTCTTATTAAGGCTGCTAACCACACTGTGATGGACAGCACCATCCATCTTCAGTGGACCAAATGTTCACTGAGTGGCTCCACTTCTGAGAGATCATCTGAGAAACAGAAGCGCTGTTTGTCTCTGTCTCGTCATCGAACATGTCAGCCCTTGTTCTGCTCTTGGGTGTGCTCTGCCTTACGCCAGCCAGCCGTGCAGGCTTGGGAGGTTATTCATCTGCCACAGGACTGAGACTTTTCCTGTAAAATCTAGGGTTTTGCTCAAGAACCCAGGCAGTAAAAAAAGCCAGAAGGAAGAGAACATGTAAATGTAAACTGTAACAGTAGCTTGTTCCTGCTGGCATCACTAATCAGGTAGGCAAGGAAGAATAACTTTGTGCTACATTTCACTGTAGGTATTTTTGGTGCTTTTGTGTATTATCACTGCTTCTTGTCTGACATTATAAAGGGAATGTAGAAATGTTTAATGTTCCCTTGTATGCTTCTAGATTGGTTTAAACCCATCCTGGGATTGCAAGGTGAGCTGCAGACAAATAAGCAAAACATTTTCTAAACAACAAAAATATGCAACAATAACAACTACAAAACTAAGGAAGCTAGGTATCTGGGAAAGATGGATGCCTTCCAGATGTGCAGAAAGCACAGGCCAGGAGTAGACTGGGGGTGGGCCTGGCTGTCCTCCACAGCCCCCGTCAGACCACCTGTGTCATCAGAGTGTCACCGACCTTCTCGTTTCAACAATGCGATGTAGTCAAGTTGGTCCTCCCCAGAGCCCAGGCACAGTGCCAGGCATTAATGTTCCATTTACAGATCGCTCCCTTGTGGAAAAAGGAGACCTCTAGAGCCACCTTTCTAATGCCAAAACAAGAAGAATTAAGCCTGAAAAGAACATGACGTATTTTCTGTGTGATCTCTCAGGCAAATTTAAGTAGCAGGTCCTTTATTACCATGGAGGGGCTCTCTCCCCAGCTGTGCCCAGCCTGGATCAATGGGTGAACCTTTACTAACAGGACAGTATGGAAAGACAAAGCACAGAGGAGCGCCAGCCTCATAGGCATGGCCAGCAGCCAGCCTCTAATCAGTTACTTCCCTAGGCTTTGTCTTAAGAACCTTTATTATTGCCAAATCCTGCACCCTATTAGCTATATATTATCCTCTACTGCCTTGGCAAGGCAGGAAATGTTACTTAATGGAAGCAGCATCTTAATACAGACTTGATAGGTTTTTGCAGATTTTTGCCACTTTCCCCATTAGCCAGAGCGACTTTTTTCCACCCACAAACTCAGGAAACATTAGCAGATGACCACATCTAGGGTCCAGTGAGAGGTTTCATCAGGCTCTGCTGGGTTCTAATCCCTCAAATAAACATAAACATGGAAATACACCTCTCCCAACCAGCTCTGTGTCCTTTTTTGCCTTTTAGAAATGCAAGTCAGCAGCAGGAATATGAAGGAAACTAATTTTTTTTCAATTGCCTTTTCTCTCAACTCCTGATTGCTGATAGCTGCTTATGAGGAGTTATCTATCCCCTTATGAGAAGCTTTCCACTCCCACAGCCTGGTGATGATCTTCTGGCTCTGTACGATCCTGCCCAGAACTTTCTTTCCGGTCCACCTTCCCCTTCCCTTGGGTAGTGGATGGGCAGAGATGGCCCCTGCTAAAGAATAATGAAGGTCGATATTATAGAAAAGCAAGGGTAAAATTTTAATACCTCTACACAGATCTTGCAAATCAGTATGAGGTAGGAGAACTCTGTTTCCTGTCAATGCACTCTTATTTTCAAATAAACTTTGATTCTGAGAGTGCAGGGTTATTTCCGGGAGGCAGAAGAATAAAGGCCTGGAGTGGCCTTATTACACATATGCATTACGTTGTCTACATTGGCGTCAGATACCCTGTGATGGTGCTGCTCCTCAGAGGTTTCTGAGCACCTTGGTTTGCAGATACAGCCCAGGGCGGCACCTCAAGGGTCAGTTTTCCGCAAAGCAGCTGTGCCAGCAAGTCTCAGGCCAGAAGTCTGAGTGCTGTCTTTGTACAATGGGCGAATGGAACTGGCTTGCCTTGGCAAGGTCTGTTTTAACTGGTATTCATGCAGCCATGCTTAATCACTAGTCTGGCTTGGCACCGATGGAAAGAAACCACAGTAGTTCATTCAGTTTGCTGTCATTGATCTCCATAATTTCCATGCATCCTGGGATAGACTGAAGTAGGAACTTGGGAGTCTTTTGGAGGAAGAGGTTGTTTTTTCTTGATTTGTGTTTGTCTGGTTTGTTGTTTTCCGTGCTGGAGATCCAACCCAGGACCTTATAAACACTAGCCAAGTGTTGGGCTGCTGAATTACATCCCCAGCCCAATTTTCTTTTCATTTTTTGATATACAAATATAATCCCCCACCCCAAAAAAGCCAATCTGTGTTTTTAAAATAATTTAAATTTATGTTGGGCTTTAGTTTCTTAAAAGTGAATCAGTATAATCGTAGCCCTCTGGGAGGAGGAGGCTGAAGGATGGCAAGCTCAAGTCCAGCATGGGCAACTTAGTGGCTTAGCAAGACCCTGTCTCAAAATAATTTAAAAATGGGGTGGAAGCTGAGGGCATAGCTCAGTGTGAGGGACCTGGGTTAGATCCCCAATACCACCCCCCAAAAAAGGGGGAAAATATTCTATTTATAAACACCACTTTTTGACATTTTCCCCAGTACTCTTTATTGACAAAAGATATTAAAAAGAGATACTAATAATTACAGCAGAAAATTCTGCTTTGCTCTGTCTTCCATTGCCAACTGTCACAGGGAGCGGTGGCAGCAGTTAGGTGCCATCACCACCGACACTCTCAACTGTGTGAAGCTCGGCAGAGTCGGGAGGATCAGTCATCGGAGTCTCCCCGACCTGGGCTGCCCTCCCTCCTCCTCCCGTAATGCAGTGGCCCCCACCCCAGTCATACTCCAGGACCTGACTACATCCTATGCATCTTCCCAGCTGGAAGATTACCACCCCTTCCAAGCCCAGACAGGTCAGAGGTTATGGCCCGTGGGTCTTCCTAGCCCTGCCTGCCATCACCACACTCCACACAGCCAGTACCCTGGAAGTGCACTGGGTCGGAGGGGCTGGGAACACACGTCCTGCAGTGTAGATGCCACAAAGGAAAAGTCAACATAGGTGACTAAAAATACAAAATTTGGCTATCACAAAAAAAGAGAAAATATATGGCAAAGGGTGCTCTCTTTAATTTATTAAGAACAGTTACTTATCAGTAAAAAAAGAAAAGCCGTGCATTTTAAAATTTACTTTTAGCCATGCATTTAAGTAGAAAAATAAGGATATGCACAGCCACTTTACTATAGAAGTAGCCAATTCACCTGTAAAAGAAAAACACTTGTAATGAAGAAACTTTAGATTAAAAGGATACATTTCAACCTGTCGCATTGGCTGATAATAATAGTATGATATGAGTTAGTATTATTGTAGGAGCTTTTAATTTGTAATTTAATCATATAAAAGCTTTGTGAGCAGGAACTGTGATACCCTTGTTTTACTGTGGAATAATAAACTAGGACTCAAATGTCAAGTAACTTGCCCAAGGTCTCATCCCAGTGAGGCCACTTAGTGGTGCTCTGGTTAAAAGGGTGAGTTGGTTTAGCTGGAAGGTAACTTGGGAAGAGAAATGTAGACACTCTGACCCTCTGATTTTGCTTGTCATATTTATCCTAGGGGGGGAAAGTCATGTAAATGTACAGAAATGCACTTACTAGGTTTATCACAGCATTGTTTATAACAGCAACACTTATGACAACTAGCAGTGGAGAAATCGTGTAAACAGATTATGTTCATTTATACAAGTGAAGTACTCTGCTGCCATTGGGGAATGATATGGCCAGTACATATCTACTTATGTGGAATCTCTTAGTATGTTATTTGGCGTAAAGAGGAGACAGGAGATACAGTAACGTGTCACTTTGCTTAGAATCCATCAGAAAAGCATGTACATAGAGGACCATGTCTAGAGGTTTATATACCAAACTGCCACCAGTGAGATCCCTTTTTAAATACAATTGAAATGTGTGTTCTTATCCTTTTTACAGTAAGCATATGCTACCTTTGTTGAAAAGAAACAGAGAGTGTTTTCTTAATCTATGTAAAAGCAGATGGCTGCCCCAGCTATAAGTAAAGAAGGAAGGAACCCACACAGATGGACTGACTGGTCAGCCAGACTCCTCCTGAGCCCAGGGCTCACTGTGGGCACTTTCTCAGAGGGCTACAGTTTGGCTGTGATGCAATTTTGTTCTTTTTTTTCCAGGTGCTGCTAAGCCAGGTGCACCGGCTGAGAGCCTTGGACTTGCTGGGAAGGTTTCTGGACTTGGGTCCCTGGGCAGTGAGCCTGGTGCGTGCTTTCTCCTCACCTTGGGGCACAGGGCCAGGGAGGGCAGTGAGCAGATTCTGTGTAACCGTCTGGGGGCTCAGGTCACGGTCCAGACCCCGACACGGATGACCCTCACAGGGCACAGTGCTGGGGGCTCTTATTTTCTCTGCTTGTTTCCTCTGTTCCATCTGAGCTGGACTTGGCCTTTGCAGGAAAGAAAGCACAGCGGGCGTGTTACTTCTTACAGAGGCTTGCCTGTGCCTGGGAGCCCTGAGCAGCTGAGTCCCTCAGCCTCGTGAGGCATTTCCCTCTCAGGAAGAATCTGCATCCGCATCCACTGTCCCATCACTATTATTTAGACAGAGTTCTGAAACACCTTTTTCATTACTCATTTTCTAGAAGAGTAGCAGTGGCCATTTTAAACAGAAAAGAGTGGCCAAAATTGAATCAGAAAATGATCCATTTTTTTCAACGTCACAAAGGAAATAAAAGAGAAATTGAGGTAAAATGTATAGATTAAAGGAGATTCAAGAGATTGGTCTTCCAATTGTAATGTATAGACTTCCTTTGTTTCTGTTTACAAAAGTTTGAAAACTGAAGGTTTTTTAAGCTATTTTTATTAGTCGTACATATTTTATCATACATATTTTATCATATGCATCATAGGGAATTTGTACCTATACATAATATATCTTGATTCTTTTTTTTTTTTTTGCCAATTCCCTTCCTCTCCCTTCAACCCTTCTTCCCCTTCACCATTTACTGAAAACTGAAGTTTGAAAAATCAGTGTTCACAGAACATAGCTAGGTGTCATGATATGTACCTGTAATCCCAGTACTAGGGAGGCTGAGGCAGGAGGATCTTGAGTTCAGGGCCAGTTTTTACTACATATGGAGACCCTGTCTCAAAGAGAACAAAAATAAAATCAGTGTTCACAGAACAATGAGAAATTGTGTACGAACTGAACGTTATGAGAGAATGGTTGTTCGTGGTAAGTGAGGTACACTAAATGTTCACAAGTGAAGTTGCTGCTGCGCAGAGCTGCAGGGGAAGAGCGTGGGCAGGAGTGGGACTGTGTGGCTGGGGCTGGCGCACAAGCACGCAGGAGGTCTCCGAGCAGTCTGCTAATGTCTGTTTCAGGTGTTTCACTAATTAGATCATGGTAACAAAGAATGATCACGGAGAGGCCAACATTTAAGGAGGAGAGAGAAAAATCTAAAATTAGGAAGAATAATTAACATTAAAGGAGAGAGAGAAATGTAAAACTGGGAAGAATGCTTCTCTGCCCCTTCCCGCGGCGTGTTCCTTCTTGAGGGAAAGCCCCACCAGCTCAGTTCAGGCCAATACTGGCAGCTCTGGCAGGTGCTAGGCATAAAGCCAGAGAGGCACACATCTGTAGGGAGCCCTCTTTCCTTTGAACGAGGCGCACTGGTTCCTGTCACATTTCCTGCACGTGCTGAAGGGAGCATCCAGCCCTGTCCCAGAGCTCATGGCCAGCGACCGGTGGCACCTTGCTCCCTGGTGGCAAATGCAGGGCTGGGACAAGCCGTGCTAACACTGTTTCTCTCCACAGGCCCTGTCTGTGGGCATCTTCCCCTATGTGCTGAAGCTGCTCCAGAGCTCTGCCCGAGAGCTGCGGCCGCTCCTTGTCTTCATCTGGGCCAAGATCCTAGCAGTGGACAGCGTGAGTAACTCCATCCGTCTTCTTGAGGATAGGAAGCTGCTGCTCATGGAGCCCCGGGTCTCTCCATCCCAAATTGCAGAGATGCTGAGTGTGGGGTGAGACCAGCTCCTTCTCCCGCCTGTCCCCCAGCGTGACACCTGCAGATACTATTGCCAGCTCCTGCTCTGATCCCTCATCTGCAAGGACAAATGCTGCCCCACTGGCTACCTCTGGGTGACCAGCCTTACCATGGACTCACCTGCCTTGTTAGCCCCACACTTCCCTTAGAGGCCTCCTCATTTCCTGTCACCGCACCGCACTGGTCACTAGGATCTGGCTGTGCTCCCCTGTACCCACCTCAGCCTACCTGCTTTTTGGGCAGCTGTACTTGCTGAAGCTCATCGTCCAGCCCATCCATGCTCAGGCTGGCCTGTCCTTCACACTGTGCTCTCGTTCTCAGTCCTGCACACAGAGCCACTGACACATCCCTCTGCTTGAGTCCCCCCAAAATACCCTGGGCTTGAGTCCAGCCCAGACCCTGACTTGGCCTCTTATGAGTTCCCCAGGCACTTGCTCAGTCCTGCCCATGCCTACTTGGCCAGCCCCCTTCTCTCCTCTGGGCACTGCACCCCTGGACAGCCATCTCCCCCACAACCTGAGTAGTCATTCAGCTTTACTGCCGGGGAGCCAACACCTGGTGACTGCTGTGGAGGGTGTGCAGATGGCTGTCCGTCACAGAGAGCATCACCCCTTGCTATCCTGTGAATGCTGTCTTCCTCACATGCTCTTTTGCTTTTGAGCAGAGGACTTATATCAGGGTTTGTTTGTTGGGCATTTCTTAGTCAGCAACCTTGCTGAGTTCTTTTAGTTCTAGTTGTTTCCCTGTAGAGTCTCTTGCACATTCTGTGTAGCTCGTCATTCCACTTACAAACAAGAGCAATTTGTTACCTCTTGGCTAGTTCTTGGGTCTCTTGTTCTTCTAGCTAAAGGCGTCGACTATTGTTAATGATTGCAGTGCTGGAAATGTCCAGGTAATTTCCCGATTTCCTTGGTCTTCCTGTGCTGGGAAGTGCCTCTGCCTGCTCTCATCTACTCCAAGGTTGGCTTTGACTTCTCCTCCGCCTTGACTCTTGCTGAGCCCTGTATTCTGCACCTGGCTCTGACAAGTGCTTTCTTCGGTTGGTTTTTTGCTCTGTAATGACCAGATGATTATATATTTCAACAAAATATTTATCTTCTTGACCACTAAGCCAACTTCTGATAAGCAATGACTTTAAAAGATTGGTGACTACACCAGGTTTAAGAGTTAAAGGACTGAAGCCTCACTCCCCAGGCCATCACCGGACCCCATAAGTCGTGGCTGTGGTACTTGGGCCACTACCTCCAGCAGTGGAGCTTCAGCCCCAGAACCACAGTGTGGGCAGCTGCTCTGCGGACTGTAGCGTAGTACATCTCACACTCACACTGCCTGTCTCTGTAACACCAAGACTTCTCCCACACCAAAAGCTTGGTCTTTTGGTTCAGAAAACAATCTTTGCCATTTTCATTCTGCCCTTCAAATTCATTGAAGAACCACATTGTGTAACAGAAGGGCTTTTCTCAGGAAGTCATCTCAAAAGTGTTTCTCTCCTACCCCATTGTCTTTGGCATCTGTGCCAGAACATTTAGAAACTTACTGACACCGTTACTTGGTGCCTGGCCATGGTACCATATGGAAGGCCTCCTGGGTGCACAATGCAGAGATCCTGATGTGAAACAAAGCACAGGGTGAGGGAGCAGAGAGCAGAAAAGGCACCCAGTGCAGTAGGTGAGCAACCACCAGCAATGACAGCAGGTCTGGGAGGAGGGCCAGTGAGCAACATGCCTGTGTTTAAGGACACTTGAGCTTGCACCCCAGTCTCACCCCTACCATATAGCACGAGCACATTTAAGCCAGCTGTGATTCTCATAAGTATGTATCTTTGTAATGCCTTTAGTACCTTGCCTTAGGTCCTTATTAGTCATCTTAGGAGAGGCTAGATCTGAAAGCAGGGGACCTGTCTTTCCTGCACACCACCATTGTCTCTGACTTGAGAGCTGATCATCACATTGAAGCATGCAGGGAACAGGGTTTATATCCTCCTCTTGTTCCTATTCTCTCCCGGGGCCACAAGGTTTCTCGTGCCCACCCCGGGGAGGTTCAGCCGGCAGTACACTGTGCTTGGTCCTGGAAGAGCCGTGCATGTCACACTGCATGCTGCACTGTTCCCTCAGCCCAGCTAGAAATGCCCTTGCCTGCAATGTTCTTGTAAATGCCCACAGGCTCCGGGGACCATCCTGTGAATTAATTTCTATCCAGCTTGTTGCATCTGTTTACTTAATAGCAATCATCCCATAAAGGGACATTTTGAAATGTTTCCGGTTGAAACTGAGCCTTATTCAACCATACTTAAGTTCGTAATCACCATGGCCATGACTCCCCAAGATTACAGCTCCATCTGTTTAAGCAGTTGTCCTTTTCCTCCTAACGTCTGGCTACACTGGTAGCCAGCCTCCCTGGCTCTCTTGATCTGTGCCCGCATTGAGCTGAGAGTTGCCCAAGTGACTTTTTGAGTGTGCCCTCCTGAGTTGGCAGGACAGGGTACACTGAGGATACAAGACAGCTGGGACTCCATCAGGAGCCTGTTAGCCCCCCAGCATACCCTGAGAGTTGGGAAATGGTAGGGCCCATTCTGGCTGAGCCCAGCTGAACACACAATGAGGCCCGTCTTCTCTCCCATTCAGCTGCCAAGCACCTCTGTGTACTGTTTGTAGGGGCTCCTGAAAGACTCATGCAGGAAGCAGGGATTATCTCGGCCCTCAAGAGGGTGGCTTTGTGTGGGCAGAAGAAGAGGGGATCCCAAGGGTGGAGTGAGATACAGATGAATCACTTGTCCTCTGCCTGAGGGGCAGCATATATTGTGAAGTTCCCTGACTGTATAGGTAGCCTCACTTGGGAGAAGGGGGTGTCTTCAGAGTCCCACACTCTCTAAGTAATCTGATTCTAGAACATCTCTTGTAAATCACTCCCTGTACCTTGTCACTCTGTGCTCACTCCACCATCAAATTACCAAGCAGATGAAGAACCAAGAAATAAGATCCATAATGAGGAAAAGGAAATCGAACCACTGAAACTTGTTTGGACCTGTGCAGATGTTAGAATTGGAAGACAAGTGCATTAAAACAGTATAAAAAGTCTGTTCCATGTATTCAGAATTTGGAGATAAAAAGAGCACCCAATTCAAACTTCTGGAGAGGACAGTGACAATCTGTGACATGAAAAATACTCTGGATAGGATGAACAACTGATTAAACATTATAGAAGAAAAAGGAATGGACACTATGCAAAAGGAGAACATAAGAGAAGAAAATTTTTGAAACTTCAAGGAGCATCACTGAGCCATACAAAGCTGCAACAGACAATGTACAGTGTCTGGGTTTCCTGAGGGGTAGGCAGAAAGGACATTTGAAAAAATAATGGCCAAAGATTTTCCAAATTTGATGGAAACTATACAGCCACAGATCCAGGAAACTCAGCAAACCCCAAGCCCAGGAAACGAGCTGTACCACAGCCGGCACAGTCCCACCACCTGAAACAGTCATAAGCTAGAAATCCAAATGCAGCCAGTAAAGAAGGCCAACCAAGCATGCAGAAACAAGGACAACAGTAGCTTTCTTACCAGAATTAGTGTAAAATTACGATCGTAAAGCAACGTCTTTGAAACAGTGCAAGAAAAGCTATCAGCCTAAGCCAGGAGCTATAGCACATGCCTGTAACACCAGCTACTCAGGAGGCAGAGGCAGAAGGATTATGAGTTCAAAGCCAGGCTGGGAAACTTAGTGGATCACTGTTTCAAAAAAAAAAAAAAAAAAAGGAA